ATGTTTACAAACCATTACTGAATTCGCAAAGTAAAAAAATGCAACAACAACTTAACCGGTTTCGCTTAGCGTGTGGGCAAGTTTTCTTATCGTGCTGGATTACGTAATTATTTAACGATATTTGATTTTTATTGAACAGCTGATTAAACACTTGAAAGTCATGAAATAAAGCATGAAATGTAATGGTATTAAACACGCAATGTGTGCGCTTCCATTGAGAACACAAGGAAATTGGTGGCTAGAGAAAAGCGATAGGAAATACAAAAAAAATGCCATTAAAATAGTTATACGAAAAGCTTTAAAACGTTAATTTATTAATGAAAATAAACGTTGTTAGTTAAGCACAAATTAAGGAGGTTTTAGTAGGCACTCAAAAAAGTACAGCAATAAATGATAATCATAAATATAAAAAAAAAATAACCAATTTTATAGACAATTAATATGTAGTGCCAATACAGCAGTCTGATAAATAAAATAAAAAGTCGTTGTATACTAACACGAGTGAGTGTGTGAGCATGTTTGTTGTTCTTTTACGCTAAAACGGCTCGACGGAGTTGGGAGAAATTTAGCGCAGAGAAAGCTTATATATAGGATATAGATAAAATTCAATTTGAATTATAAGTTCAACGAAATTTCAAAATATAGATGCCAAACGAACGAGATTTAAGAAATAATTTACTAAATATCAAAAATAGAAAATAAAGATTAAAGCAAGTCACGTAATAATACGAAATGCTTCCTCCCCCCATGTGATTATAGTGGTCATTTGTCACTTGATTTATGCACACCCCTTTTTACGAATTTTTTTTTTAAGTTGGTTGCCAGCTGTTTAAAAGTCGAATTAAATTTAATTAATTAGTTCGCTTAAATATTACTTACAACATCTATGTCAAACGAAACAGGTTCAAAAAACCGTTTTTTTAATATTTTGAAGAGGTTTGCCACCTCTTTAAATTACAAGTTTAATTTAAATAAATATTAAAATGAGTTATAAAACTACATTCTTAGAATTTTTCTAAAAAATCTGATTTGAAAGTTTTGCTATTTTTGTTTTTTTTTTTTTGTATGAACGTTATTTTTATGAAAAATTTGCGAAAAGAAATTACAATAAAAAACTTTGCATACATTGCGAAAAATTTTCTGTGCAAATACTTTTGTTCGTCACTGTACAAATAATTAGAAACTTTTTTAATAAAAACACAAAATAAAAAGGGTTATAATCTGGTTACTCTAGACTTAACGTAAGAAATCGTCAATGAATACTCAACACGTCAAATTAGTCAGAAGCGAAAATATTTTGGTTTTGTATTTTCCTTTTCAGCTGATGGTCGGTCACTTTGCCGCCTATAAGCCATTCAACTTAGATGTTTTTTTTCCAAAAAATTCAAATTTTAAAATATTTGCCTTTGTTATTAAACGTGCGTTATGTTTTTATTCAGACACATTTTTTGCAAAGTATTGCGAACTGTTTATAAACTTATATTACAAATATTTGTATAACGGCTAGTTAGGAAATACACTTTAGTTGTCTTTTTTTACTCTGAATTGACCAATTTAGTTGAAGTTCGACACATTGGCCACGTTCTGGAACCTCGGACAATAAGGCAACTTTTTTAATAACATTCGTTGTTGTTATTTTCGGTGATTAAACTTATTTTTTTTAATTTTTGTTACATTTGAAATCATAACGTTAGACCGAAAGGAAATAAAATATAATAAAAGAAAAAATATATAAAAAATTGAGCGCCATAAATAATTCAAATTTGCAAGTCCAATACGAGGTTCATAGCTGCGCGTCTATTTCATACCAATGTCAAGGTTGGCATTCATTAGTCGCGTGGGCATTCCATGTGTCAACAAGGTAATTTTAGCTCTGCCTGTATGTAAAAAAAAAAAAACTTTTTAAAACACAACGGATTTGGATTAATTATGAATAACTAACATTATTAATTTTTTTAAGTTTGATTTAAGTTTATCCAAAAAAATGCACAATTTTACGCTCGCTTCAAACTCGTAAAAAAGTAAAAGTCAACTGGCTCAAAGCGATTAGCATTAATATTTATATAAATAAGTGTCTATTAATTATATTGACTTAATTCTGGTCATACTCGATCAACTAAAAGCTTTAATTAAAGTTACAGCGATTAAAATAAAAATAAAAAATCATACAAAAAGTTTTAAGCGTGGATTTATAAGCAGCAGCATATAAACTAAATTATTATCCAACAAAATGAGTAAGTAAAACTCGTAATTGTGCAATTAACTGATTAATTGTTAAACAAATTGTCAACCTTTCATACAAATAATTGCTAGTAAATAAACTATTTAATGATTTTCTGAGAAAATATATTTATATATTCACATATAATGTATGCAAAGAAAAAACTCCACAAATGCTCTACGTCTCGAAAACAATTTAAGCTTAGTCATTCTACCACATACACACTATGTATCTACTACATAAATACTATACGCACATACATACATATGCTAGTGTAGGCATACATTATTACAAATATATTTAATAATCATTTGAAGGTACTCATATATGCGGTATGATATGAGTAGATGTATTTTCTCATGTAATCCATATACATATGTATGAAAACTAAGTCATGCTAGTACACTAAGGTGGCCCTATGTGACCTTAGCTTGTTTAAACTTACTTAGTTTATTTGCTCAGTTCCAACATCAACAACTAACTCTCTGTATGTAGGCTTAATTAGTTGCGCAACTTTTACAACCAACTTATTTTTCTTAGTTTGCTCTGCATGAGAAACAGGTTCAATAGGTCAGCGATGGCATATTCAAACTAATTTGAAGCATCTTTGATGTTAAGTGACTCTTCTTAAGTGCGTTGGTTGCCTATAGCATTATGTTACTGAAGTTTTTGTTACTCAAATGTATGTAAGCTGTTTTAGCTGCCAATAAAGCCGAGCTCATGTTGAGAGAAGAGCGGATTACAACTGGGGATGAACTGCGACGAATCGATTAATGGAAAAAAATCTAAAATTGACATAGAAAAATCGACTTTTTCAAATCGATCTATCGTTTGTTCGATTAAAATCCTGTAATCGTGATGTCGGGTATAATTGCGGATGGTTATCGATTAATAAAAAACTCCAGGTTTATGTTGAATAATCGGTTTCTTTTTTGTCGGAATCAGGCTCTCATGTCGGTTTCCATGTCCATTTTACTCTGTTTTAAATCACCATGGTTTACGATTACATCTAAGCCGATTTTTGGTTGTCAAAGGCTCAGTTGTTCGTCTCTCAACACAAAGCGGCCAAATGCGGGTAAATGTAGTTGTCATCTACGCCTCTCACAGTCAGGTGTTTGTGCCACGTGAAGTGACAAGTCAGCGTGCCACCAAGTTGTTTCCAGTCTCGTCTGCTCAAAGAGCGCAAGTAACTAGATAGACCGTCTAAGGTTGAAGGCAACTTGAGTTTTGCCCATCTGCAGCCCCTTGATGCCCCCAAGTCATTGCTGAGCGAAGTATTCACCCAATTGCTGGTGGTGGCTGCGATGGTCCGGACCGGCAAACCTGCCGAAAAGACCCCATAGAAACTAAAAAAGAAATTTGTTAAATCTGAGGGCGATCTTGAAAAAATGCGAAAAGTGCCGACAAAATTCCGAGGCTCCGAAAATTCTCGAAGCGTTCAAGAAAATACCATTGCTTCTTTTTTTTTGCATTCATTGAAAGCTTATTTAAGATTTAAATATACTTTTAGACCGGACAGTTTAGACAAACATGAAAAACCCCGAAAAAAATTTAGTAAAATTTCCTAAAAATACCGTAAAACTTCGAAAAAGCCCCAAAAAATACTGGAAAAAATGCGTAAGGCCTGGGGATACTTCTGGTAGTTCTAAAAAAAAATCCGAAAGATTTCGAAAATATTCGAATGGGCCCGAAAAGTCCCGAAAAACCATGGGAGGCCCCGAAAAATCTCGAAGCATACGAAGAAAATCCCGCAAAGTCTCAAAATTGTTTTTTATTAGTTTGTGTACAAAATAACGATTATTTGGGCTTTTCATATTTCAAGCCAAAATTTTAAGCAAAATTTTACTTAAATTGTTTGCACAAAATAGCCGAAATGTTTTCTATTTATTTATTTATTTTTTGAAATTCATAAAAAGTCAAGTTAAGATTTAAATATAATTTTGGACTTAATACTACGAAAGATCTAGAAAAAAAAGGAAAAATTTCGTAAGGTGCCGACCAACTCTGAAAAGGAGGAAAACATACTGAAACAAAATTCCCTAAATTCACCGATACCGATAGTGCTGAAAATATTACGAAAGGTCTTGAAAATATCCGAATGGGCGACTTAGTGCCGAGAGGCTCCTATAATTCTCGAAACGTTCCAAAAAATTTCGACAATCCTAGTCCTAAAAAATCAAAAAAGCGACTGGACCCGAAAAAGTCCCGAGGAGATTCCGAAGAATGTTAAAGCGTACCGAGAAAAGTTTGAGGACAATCCCGATAGGCCTACAAATTACGAATGGCCCTGAAAAAATCATAAATATTCTGAGGAGAATCCGGATAGGCCTAAAAAATCCAAAGGGCCGAGAAAATCCCGAGATTCCGAAAAATGTTGAAACATACCAAGATAATTCCAAAAAATCTGTGGACAATCTCGATAGTCCTAAACAAATTCCGAAAGGTCCTGGAAAATTCAGAAAAAAGTTAAAAAGGATATCGAAAAAAACACTTATTTACAGTCCCTGAATCTGAATGACTGACATTATAACTGATATTTGATGCGTTTATATTGGAGGGGAGGGAGCTTTCATATAATAATTTTCTACATAGCTATAGAGAAGAATAGGAAGAAGATCGATTCGCTTAAGCGAAAGTACAATGAAAATAAAATTCAAGCCTCATCCTCGTAAAATTATTATGTATAATTTTATAACTTTTTATTATTTTATTACATGTACTGTATATAATTCCATTATTGCACTTACATTTAACCGCATAAAATATTTTTTTCCTACAGGGGTCCCAACAATGCTTTCCGAAGTTTCCGAACTGCCCTCGGTGCAATTGGGCGAATTCACATTACAATTCGAATTGGGCGAAGCAACAGAACGTGCCAAGGAAGTTGCCATAAAAGAATTGCGTGAAACACCAGATGTCAAAGATGTGGCTGTAAAAGAATTGAGCCGATTAATGGAAGGTATAGTGAAAAATAAGTACTTACTTCTGTATGTTATTGTGCCAGGCCACATGTAAATATAGCTATTACATTGAAGTTTTCTCATTACACCGAGATGACGGGACAACAAAAATTTGCATCGCAAAAAAATTTAGTTACTTAACGTAAAAAATGCATTTCATATATGCAATTATAAATCCCATAATTGCGACAGTAATTTTATAAATTACATTGCATACGCGTATTCTCAAGGAAATCTTCTAAAGGTTATTAAAAACCATTTAAAATGTGTATTTACATACATACATCTAATTCTATAAAATTCTAACAGGTTAGTTATTAGTTTTTATTACCAGTTGTTGCTACTATGCAAATTGTAAATTGAAAATAAATATTTGCAGGCTCACGTTAAGAGCATGAACTTTTGAATCTATTCGTACCTACCTACGTCAATCACACATTTTTCAACATTGAACTTGCGAACTTTTTTCTTTAAGAAACTCAAATAAATACTTAACAAATTTTTCTCACATTTGATAAGTAAATGCAATAATTAATGTACTTGCATAAAAATCTTAGCATTGTCATTATATTGTCAGCGTGTTTGTCTTTTCAAAAGTAATTAATTAATAGCAAGGTTTGAATTATCATGGAAAGCTGACATGCAAACTAAACTTTGACATACGATATTAATACAATGTAGTGCTCATGAAAATTCTAACTGACATGCATATGCATGGACTTTTAGACAAGTTGACAAGCTTTACCGGGTTTTTAATGGACTTAAAGTCACTCGGGTTCATCACCATAATTTCGAGTATAGTATTCACCGCTTAATTGCACCAAATGGTAGCCACCTACTGCCCCCAGTTCTCACTACGTTTAGAGTGTATTCACTCAGTAATTATGGCTCTCGAAGAGGACTAACTGAGAACACAGAATGGTTAAAGCAGTTAATGACCAATCTGTTCTATTAAAATGGCCTTGAAAGGAATTTCTCCGAGCAGTTGAAGCCAAACCTATATTTTAACCAGCGGCGGATACAGGGGGGCGGTCGATCGCCCTGCTCGTTCTTTTTTATTTTAATCTTTTTTTTTTTTGGCCCCCCATTGCATTTTTTGGTGATCTACAAAAATATATAGTTAGTATTAAAAAATGGTAAAATAAACAAGTGGGTATTATTGTTGGAAGTCTTCTAAAGCGAAACTGAGTTTCCAGATCGAACAAAATTTATTTTCAACAATCCCATACCATTTCTACGAAAAGTTCGCCCTATCTCAGCAAATGGTTAAAGAACGCCAAATATACGAATTTGTTTCAAAAACGACCTTTCTCAGAAATTGATTAAAGAAAGCCTTATTTTAGAGCTCGGTGCAAAAACGCCCTATCTCAACATATTTTCAATTGAGACAGGGTGTATGCATATTGTTTCAGTTTAATTTTTGAGTAAAAAATTTTGCACTAGAAGCATAATTTTATTTTTAATTTCATGCTTTAACATTGGGGAAGTTATCTACGTACATTAATGTACATTATGTACGTTTGTAATATTAAGGTTCTTCCTCTACCGCTGTAACTAGGTGTAGGTTAAATATATATTTTTATTTTGCCAGTTAAGCTAAAGTATTTTTTCTGTTTTGATAAAAAATACGCACCATTTCGACCATGATTCTTTTGATGACTGAATCAGTACACGGTTAACATTGAATTTGCGAACACAGGCCGATTCACATCTACACACAAGCATCTTTTATGAAGCTATAATTTTAGAAGCAATTTTCGTTAACATTTTTTTTTTAATTTTATTATTCTTTTTTGCATAAATACGCGACTGGTGCAGCTTTTTCAATCGTAGCCGTAGGCACTACATCAATACGTACACGTGTACGTAGTAAGCATAGTGAACTTTATGACTCGGTAACAAATCTTGTGACTTAGCGTAGCTTATGAAGTGTATGAAGCTTTTATAAGTAATTTTAGTAACTCTATATAAATAATAAATAAAATGAAATCGTTATATTAAATGGTGCGACAGTAAAAGCACTCAAATACACCTGAAACGTAAGGTGCAGGTGGTAGGTAGGGTTTAATACAACCCGAATGCACGTAGGTTTATTACAGTCCCTGAATCCCTCAATTTGTTTTATTACTACACGTCTATACCTGCTATGGACGCACGCATACGGACTATCGCTTAGAAATTTTTGTACGTGGGCACTTGATCGCATACCATTCCAGTGCGAATTTGTTGTAAGTTTTTTATAAATGTTGCGAAAATTTTATTTTTTTGCTTGGTTATGTCTTTACAACGTTTCTCCGAATAAAACCATTTCTTTCTTACTTGGAATCAAAGCAAATATGAAAAAAATAGTTGCTAAACCCATAGTTAGGTATGCGATAAATGGTATGAGATATACTATCTTACTTTATATCGTATGCGGTCTACAACTGCGATATATATCTTACGATGTTTCGTATGCGAGCGCCCATAGCAGGTATAGACGTGCAGTTACAACTTTCTAATTTTTGGATGCTGCATTCACCTCGAACCACTCACCCTCAGCGGCTCCCAGTAAACCTCGTAAAACCCTCGCCATTTCAGTTTTTCGGATATAGTAAAATTCCAGTAACTTTTTTAAATGGTTTAATTTAGTATTTGAAAAGGGAAACACTAAATATTATACGTCTGTTTTTCTCTTTTTTTCAGCTGAGACAGACCTACGCTACCCTAAGGACAACGAGGAATGGTTGGTACGCTTTTTACGCCCCTGCAAATTCTATCCAGAAAGTGCGCGCGATTTGGTAAGTAAATTAGTGTTAAAGAGAAAATGCACTAAGGGTTCACTTACGATAGAGTATCGGGCTATTGACAGCGCTGATGGCGATTGAAATAAGCCACACATTTCCACAGAGTATTGAAGTGACACAATGACGAAATTGTGTACAAAATAGTGCCCGTGTCATTAAGTTAATATTAATAGCCACTACTGCAGAATAACCACTAATTCTTTGCAAATTAAACAAAACCCTCCTCTAAAATTTTGCACAAGGCAGTCTAATGTCAGGAAATAAAGCGAGACAGTTGTTTTATTACTTCAGCTGTTTACTGCGCCATGTATTTTAATGTCGATTATATCTCAGAAAACATTGCGGTTAGTTATCGATTAGAGAATGATTAGAGAACTAGCCACATTCTCCAATCTCAAACGTTAGAGGACTCGAAAAACTATCGAGAATCATAGTGATCTCAACAAAAATGGAACATAGTTCTCGACTCGAGAAAATATTAATGGGATTCGAATGCGAATTTCCAACTGCTGTTTAGCTTTATTAAATAAAACGCGTTGTTTGTAAAATTTGTACTAAATGTATTTGCAATGGAATAATATTGAATCATTTGAAGTTAAAAATAATTTATGATTCATTAATTTGGAATATTTCTTATTTACATTTATTTGAATTTGCGTTGTTTCTCTAATCATTCTCGAATTAAATTCTAATGTAGTTCTCTAACTTCGTCATCGATTCGGGAACGATTAGAGAATTACCCTAGTTATCTAATGTAGAAATCCAAATTTCTCTAACGTTAGAGACTGTGTTTGCTGGGATATATAAATATTTTTCATTTAATGCCTAATGCCGAATATTCACTGGGCATTAAAAATACCCACCTCAAAAATAAATACATATTAAAAAAGTAATAAAAGTTCATTTCCACATGCAATTTTTTAATGACCTACGTTTTTTGTCATTTCAATGACTAGTGTAAGATATCCAGCAAAGTTTCCTTTCAATGCGAAAATGAAAAGAAAAAATTTTGGGCCAATTAAAAAAAAAACTTACGTGGAAACAAATTCAATGGTTATTACATTTAATGTGATGGCCTGGTTATTATTTAATGCCAAACTTTGTCAATAAATTTCTTTCCATTCAATGCTTAGTAGAAATGCGGTATAAAGCCGAATTTCTACTCGATATTAAAATTACTAAAATTGCGACAAATTTTTGCTACATATTAAGCAAATGGAATGTGGAAACAGATTTAGTGCTGTTTTCTCATGTAGCTTTTAAAACTTATCTGCCCTTCGAACACATTTTTTCAGAACAAAATTTGTGGTTAAAGGGCAGATAAATTCTAAAAACTACTTGAGAAAACGGTCCTTCATTCAGACTTTCGTAATTTCAAAGCATCGTGGAAATGTGGCATAACTTTGTTTCCGCAAGAAAATTTTTAAACGGTAAACATTTCTTTTGTCATTTCAATGACTAGTGGAAAATTGACAATAGAAATAAAAAATTCCTCAAAATTTATTGCAACCTAAATTACAAAAAAAAAAAAATTAAATTTATAAAAAAAAATGCCTTTCCAGATCAAACGCTACTACGCCTTTAAGCTGAAGCACGCAAATGTATACGATGGTCTGGTGCCCAGTAGAGAAGCCAACATTTTCAAACACAACATACTTACAGTCTTTCCGAATCGCGATCAATGTGGACGTCGCATTTTGTTGCTCGAGTTGGGCAGTAAGTACAGATAGATACCTACTCTTAGTTACAGGTTTCTGTAAACATATTTTAATATTACTCCTCAACCCCTTCAGAACGTTGGAAGCACAAGGAAGTCACGCTCGATGAGGTCTTCAAAGGTGCCGTCCTCTTCCTTGAGGCGGCTATGTTGGAACCAGAAACGCAAATCTGTGGCGCCATTGTTATATTCGACATGGACGGTCTGAGTTTACAACAAACATGGCAATTTACGCCACCATTCGCTAAACGTATTGTCGACTGGCTGCAAGATTCAGTGCCACTGCGAGTCAAGGCCATACACATCGTGAATCAACCGAAGATTTTCAATGTAGTCTTTGCGCTCTTCAAGCCTTTCCTACGTGAGAAATTACGTTCGCGTATCTATTTCCACGGCACCGATCGTGAATCGTTGCACAAACACATCTCGCCGAAATGCTTGCCAGCCAACTATGGTGGCGACTTGGAGTTACAGCGCATCGATGGTGGTCAATGGTATGAGTTGTTGTTGCTGTGCGACAAGGAGTATGTGGCGATAAATTCATATGGGTACAAGAAGTGAGTGAATGCGGAGGGAAAGAAGAAAATATAACGGCAGCAGAATTGTTAATATGTAGTTATTTATGTAGTTAAAACTCCTTTTGGCCTTAACTTGAAGTTGTAAAGATAATTTTGTATATTTTTTTTTTATTGAAATTTTACCAATTTTTAAATATAAGTATGCGGTATAAAAAGAATTACAAAACAGCACCACTGAGAAGAAACATATGTATGTAACTATAAATTTGAAAATAATTTCATATTTAGTGAAATTAAGTTATGGGCCATAACATAAATTTGCATTCGTAAAAAAGGCCTTAAAATACAGGAAAAAGCAGCTCAAATAAAAAAGTTGAAATATGTATGTTTGTACTTAGTGACGTACTTACGTATTTATTTTTATATTAGTCCTTAAACTTTTTGTTTAGATTGGGAATATCTTTTTAATGAAATTTTAAATAAAAACGAAATTTCTATATTTAATAAAAATTAAAAAGAGAACTTATTTTAAGGTTTGGTGGGATTGTGAAATTCAGTTTGTCGCTGAGTTTATAAAGCATAAGCAATAGAATAATAAATTTATTTTTAAAATAATTTGTATAGGAAAACCTTAATAAAGTTTTAATTAATGCAGAAGTTTGTTTAAAATAATATTTGATGAGTTTATTGATTTATTTGGCACTATATATAGCTTTTTCCCACGGTAGAGGACGACTCGGAGAACAATTTCTCAATAGTCAAACGCACTTTACATTTCTGCAGTTAGCTGTATATGTGGACTCTGCTGTCATGTAAGCGCATTAAACTTTAATTTTACGCTTAAAGAAAATCACACATTTACAGGCCTATTCTGCGTTGGTAACAAAAATTTTGTTGCCGGTAAATAAAGTAGCTGGTAATTTTTCAACCCTTTTGGCATTCTGCGCACTAGTAAATTTTGTTACCACTTCATAAGCAGGTAACAAAATATTGCCCCGTGAAAAATTAAGTATAAAGAATTTATGAACAATTTCATAGCTGAATAACCGAATAGATTAAAATGCTACCAAGGAACTTAGAATAGCGGCTACAAGAAGTGGTGCTATTTTTTGGTAACAAAATTTTCCGGTGTCAAAATGCAGCAAGAAGATTAGGCCTGTTAGTGTTGAAAACTAAAAAATTTAATTGAAAAAAATAAGTTCTTAAAAATTAAATAAGATTAAACAAAATATTTTTGTTTTTAAAACAATGATATCAATAAATTATCAGAGAAAAAATAAAATAAAATAAAATTCAGAAAAAAAAAATTAATTTCTAAAATTAAATGAAATTAAACCAAATATTTTTGTTTATAAACCAAATCTACAAATAACAAAAAAAAAAATAAATTAAAAAAAGAAAGATAGAAAATTAAGTTTAAAAATGGGAAAAATTAAAATAAAATAAGAAAAAATTAATTAAATATGTGTATATTTCCGAAAATTAAATGAAAAAAATATAAGTAAGTTTCTTAAAAACTCATGTCGATTGAATCCAATTCGAAGTTCACATCACTCCTGTTGGCTGGTCTCTGTACTTCGTCCAATTTCCTAGCAAACAGATTTTCGATGACTGCATTCCAATAAACCAATATACAACGTCTCGTGGGCAACCCATCCGCAGCGCAGTTTTCTGCAACATCACTCAGGGCGTCAGGCCCTTCCCTGCTAGCTAAGAGCGCACTGTTAGCGGTCTACTCGCCAGATCTTTCAGCGGGTTTACGTCCATAATCCAAAACGAATTAAGATAACACCCTCCTGTGGCAAATCCGTGTTTACCCTGCACTGCTGCACTTTTTCGCCACAGTTTTGTCACAGAGCATGCGGTACAAATACTATATACAGGCAGGTTCTGCATTTCACTTCCGAGTGAGTTTCAACCTAATTTGCTTTGAATTCAAATTGACAGGGGTTGAAATTCACTCGGAAGTGAATTGCAGAACCAGCCTGATTGGCTTAATAAGTTCAGTTCTGCATGCTCAGATGAAGCATTGAATTCCAAACTCCGAGCCCGTCAGTGTGGGACTTAAACCCGAACTAAACCTCATACCGTCCTAATACCACTCCTCTGGTATTGCGGTCTGGTATTACTTCGGGCGGTGCTTTAAGTGTTGAAAAGTGGCATCGATTTGGAACAGTACTTTGCATTGTTAAAAAAAAAAAAAAAACACCTTATACGGTGTCCGTTTATGCACTGCCGTTATTGTAACGTTCGCCTACGCCTCTTACCTTCTTCCACGTCCTCTTCGACTAGTCTCTTCTCGTCTTAGCTGCTGGTGCATCTCCATAGTGCATTTAAAGCAGATTTTGAGCTCAACTTGGTTGTCTGGATCTGATTGACCTCCTGATGAGACCTCCTTGTTAACAGATCTTTCAATTAGTATTTCTAAGGGCATTCAAGATAATTGCCAGAATTGACAATTATCTTACGAAAGACTTCTGCCTTTTGAAAGACTGAAGTGAGTTGAAAGNCCGTCAAAACGTGGGCAAAAAACGTGGTTTCCATCTTCCACCTCTGAACACCTACGGTATTTAGGTCAAAGCGATGTTGAAATTTACGGTAACAGCCGTGGACTGTAAGAAACTGCGTTATGTGGATTCAAACATTTAGCAATTTTCTTTTATTTAAAATTTAGAAAACTTATTGCTTAAAGACAAGCAGAATAACGCTGAGACCTCCTTGTTAACAGATCTTTCAATTAGTATTTCTAAGGGCATTCNGACCTCCTGATGAGACCTCCTTGTTAACAGATCTTTCAATTAGTATTTCTAAGGGCATTCAAGATAATTGCCAGAATTGACAATTATCTTACGAAAGACTTCTGCCTTTTGAAAGACTGAAGTGAGTTGAAAGACAGATGTGGCCTTTCACTTTCTTTTGATATGAGCTTTCCTACTTTCTTCCGAATGAAACTCAATTTAGTAGTAGATACATATATTTCTTCTGCACTCACATATTGGTATGACATACATATATTGGCTTTTATATTTTACTCATAAACATACATACATATATAGTTAGTAAGATATTTTAAAATAGCACAACTTAAATTGCAAAAAAAAAAATCAAAATAAAACAAATTAAACATATTTTGGTATAAATACGAGCATAGATGCGTTATTATTGTAAATAATCGATACATTTTCTTCGATATTTCTTATATCTAAGTAAAAAATACTCCTGCTTAATAATTGTAGATAAGAAAACTGGTTTTTGGAATGAAAGAAAAGTGTACATAATTGAATTTATCCGATCAATTATTTTTGCGTACTTCAATAATTAAGTTTAAAACTTAAATTGCAGCAAGGCACAACTGGTTTTAGATTTTCAAGTAAGATAGATTTCAGTGAAGATTAGTTACTTAATTTTTATTTACTTACATACATAGTTATGAATTATTTGGTTAAAAAGTACAAAAATCTATTTTTCTTTTTTTAAATAAATAAGCCTTACTGAGGCACTTTACTAAAGAAAAAGCAGTTAATCAACTCTTAAAATAATTGTGCTAAGCTTAAAAGTTAATATTTGGTTTAATTTCACCGGGAATATCATAGTTGCATTAAATTATACTAACAAGTTTGTAGCAAAGTATGCTTAGTTTAAAGAATGTATGTATGTATTATCTTTGGAAATAAGTTAAGTCAAAATTAAGCAACAAAAAACCTTATCCTTTAGCAAAAAATAAAAAATAATAAAATAAAAAATTAACCGGTAAAAACTACTGAGCTCGATTAAGTTAGAGTAAGCGACTTTGGCTAAGATCTCAATGGATTGCTCACATAAACCAAAAATGTTTGTTAGTCTTGCTAAGAGTTAGTATGGAGGCACACATTTTTAGCCCTATATAACTATTTTGCGAATTTAAGCAATTTTTTACATCTTTTGGTCAGCTGACTTTCAATAAGAAGAACACCGAACGAAGGAAGATCGAGATTTCTAAGGCTTTTTTAAAACCATCCGTTAATAAATTATTCGGCCCTATTATGGTTGTCGTAAAAAAATAGTCCAACTCCAGCTACGCTGACCACACTATTTTTGTAGAAAGGCGTTATTATGAGGGTTTTGTTGACGAAAAAATTGCGTGGTTATTGTCTGAGTTTAGTGGGTGTTGGGTTAAGCAGCTACTGACGAACAACATTTGGGTACCATTTAGTTTTGTGCCCAACGATTTCGGTCTATTGCGTCCAAAGTAGTGACCCGATCCACACACTTGTAGTCAAGGGTCTACACTTTATTTTAACATCTACTTTTGTAATTTTCGGCAACTAATTTTTTTAGAAATTCGGTTTGGTATATGCACTTTTTTGTAAAATTCCGCAATTTGCGTACATTAATCACTCCTATTCTCCTTTAAGTAGCCACTTTATCAATACATTTTTATATTCGCCTTCACTTTACTCTTTATTCTATTCGTTATAACTTTTTTATTCCTGTAATTGTAGCCAATTAATAACAATTCATTAACCCTTTCAGCACAATTATGCATTATATATTAGACAAACTTTTTTTGTACATAACAGGTACGTGATTCGGTTTTGAACCGGAAAACCGATTTTTTTCTATTAATTAACTGAACCATTAACCGAACCGAAATTTTCCACAAATGTTTGATCCGAACCGAAAACCGAACCACTTTCTATAAAGGTTTAAAGGTTCGTTTCAACCAATTTTCAATAGATAAATCTACCCACTTTTTTCTTTTTGTTAAACATGGTAATACCTATCATGTTTGTTTACCATGTGACAATATCAAATGTAAAGGCAACCCATCTCATTTGACAGACACTTGACCCTTAACCTTGCGCGTTGTTGCACTTCACACTTGACACTTAAACGTGCGCGTTATTATTTTGTTTTTCGAATCGTTTAACCGAACCAAAACCCCGGTTCAAAGACCAAAAAACCGCTTTGATGAACCAATCCAAAAGTGCAAAAACGGTTCGAACCGCTGAACCGAACCGACCAAATTTTTCATCCGGTTCACGTCCCTGGGACATAAAGTTTTTTTTTTCTTAAATAAGAGCTTTTGTTTTTAAAATAACAGCTGGTTTGAGAAAAGTATATTATTCTTATTTACCGCATTTATTTTACTGTATTTTCGGGATGTACTTGACCGTGTTTTTCACAAATTGAAAAGTATCATAAAAATCGATATATATATATGTATATGAACAACTATTTTTTTGATGGAATTGAGATCCGAAAAAAATGTTAAATGTTATTCTCAATTTTGAAATATATTTCGCTAAGTAAAAAAGAAAAATTATTGATATCACTTCCCTGTTTACAAATTTAGAGTGCCATTGTCCAATATACTGGACGCTGAATAACGGTAAAACTAGAGTTAAAAGAAAAAAATTTGATTGTATTTTTAAAATCAATGACCCAAAATTAGCCGGTAAACAAATTTTCGGATTTTTAGCTTCAGCGGCTGATTTTTTGTACTAAGAGGGTTAAATAAAAACGCCATGAAAATCACGCTTGCGCCTTTGGTTGCATATGCAAATTAAATGGCCGAGTTCAGCTGTCAAAATCCAAAATGTGCAAGAAGGATAAGAGACAAAAGCAAATAGGATATAACATAGTAAGAATTAAAAATATAAACCTTTTCATAGGAAATATGTATTCACTGGGTTTGGTACTCGAGTTAAGGTCCCATGAGCAGGGGCCACAATTCGCTTCCATAAAATACCTGCTAAACGAAGTTCTGCACAAAAATACTTTCTTCTTCGGCGACACGGAAATGAGAATTCTACTTAGTGAGGGTTATAATCCGCTGAGCGCGGCCCGTACCCAGTCTACGCAAAAAGAAGGTCTGCTCTAAAATACTATCATATTACTATTACTACAACATTTTCATATGGGGCTCTTTATTAAAAAAATAAAAACCATAACGTAATGGTTAAATTATGATTTTTATTATTAAGATCATAATCGTTTGGTTCCATGGTGATTTTGCCTCCAGAAAATGTGGATGAAGAGTAACAGACGCGAAACAGTTTTGCCGAACAACCATTCATCTATATAATGAACATATATAATTCGGATTTCTAAAGCAGCATTTACACGAGACTATTTTCTAAGCGATTCGAAATCGCTTTCAATAAATTTGTTTTGTGAACTTTCTTGCCAGCCAACCAAATTCAAAATTCTATAAAACGCGAATAAAAACCAAACTTAGGCGTTTAAAGTGTTCTACAAAAATGTTAAGCCTATAAATTTATAAGGGGTCGTCGAAGAGTTAAACCTTCTACGGATTAATAAGAGCGCTGTAAAGAGTTTAATCGAAATTGGGTATAAATAAGAGCCCTCAAATTGTTCCACAATGTTATTTACATACTCATCATTTGTTTGCAACTTAAACTAACTGGGGTTAATGTCCTGATTTCGAGAATGCAAAATTTTTCTTAATATAGATTCCGCGTTAAATTATTGTGCGTTTAGATTAACCCGATTTTGCTATGTGTTCATCATAACGAAAAACAAAAAATTAAATAAACAAATCAATAATCTATTGTATATAATACTCGATTCGGCTGCTGCATTGCAAAATATTTAAACTAAGCTAAATATAATTACATATAAAGTTACATGGAATTTTATAACTGCTTTACACAAATACATACGTAGCCATTGTATGTATGTACTCATGTAAATGTACATTACTATAATAGTGTACAACATGTTGTATGAGTAATATATGATTTTTTCGATTGGAATTGTTCATTTAGCGCACATCGGGCGCATAAAATAAACTGAGCATTTTTGCGTTACTTTTCACCCTTAATTACTTATAAAATAAACTTGCTTTCTTAGAATTACACATGAAGTTAAACATCGCCTTTTGTTTCATACGCTTCCGTCCCTCGAACAACAATATTTAGCTGCCTTTGGTGTAGTCTATCAGATACATTGTTATTCATTTCTTTCTTCTTTTTTATAGATTTCAAACCAGCTGAATTAGTTCATTGCAAAAATATTTAAAAAAAAAAACGTGCAACGCAATGCATCCCAAATAAAAGCGATTTAAAGCTGAAAATTCGTTGCCTGCGGCTGCCTATTTGCGCCNCAAGTGCAACGCAATGCATCCCAAATAAAAGCGATTTAAAGCTGAAAATTCGTTGCCTGCGGCTGCCTATTTGCGCCCATGGACCGTTTCACGAAACGTAGCGGCGATGGACGGCTGCCACTATTGTCACCACGCATAGACTCATCTTCTAATTCGGCTTCAACTGATGTTGAGCTACCACCATTGCCACCGCCAGTGCAACAAAAACGATTTTGCGCCAAACGTATGCTACGTGTTAGATCGATAGTATCGCTATGTTGACGTAGTTCAGTTTCAGCTACACGCTCCATATGTTTCCACTGACGCACGGCCAAAACAAATGCATCGGTTACATTGCTGGCAGCCTTCGATGATGTTTCGATGAGGCTAGTAATGCCATTGTCGTTGCACCATTGTTCCACCTCTTCGTAGTTAACTTGACGATATTTGGGTGCCATGTCCAGCTGCATGCGTTGCCATGTAAATATAATTAAAAATTATTATTATTTTTTTTAATACGACATTTCCTTACCTTATTACCCACGACAATGAAGGGAAACTTGTCCGCTTTAACATCGGCATAGTTGAGAAACTCACTACGCCATTGCTTCAGCCCGCGAAAACTATCCCGATCATCGATGGCATAGCACAGCATGCAGACGTCAGAGCCTCGATAGAAAGGTGTGCGTAGCGCGCGAAAACGCTCCTGACCAGCTGTATCCCAAATCTATAAAAAAAATATACGTAAAATAACAATTATCATAATTTATTAATAAAACTGCATATTTATAATGGCAAGCGCGTATTTTGCGAAAAACTTATCTTTTTATTACTGTAAAATTGGTCCGATTCGATAATATGTGTTTCATAAGCTTGTGGGAATTTTTAGTTGATTGATGCCAAATGGATGGTTAGTTTCAAATGTGCATTAATTTTCATTAAAAGTGCTCCTTAATTTATATAATTTGTATGAATTCTTATGAAAATCAATCAGTGCATATTCTTATTCACACACACACACATACATATATGTATTCACAAAGAAAAATGTGCACAAACTTACATACATAACTTGAGCTATTAAACTGAAAATTCAACAAATAAATTCATAGAAATTCGTAATTAAAATATGTATTTACAAATTTAGATAGTTACATGCATGCATACATATGTATGTACATCTACATCTATCTATGCAAGCCATGCGATTACAAAACATTGTTTGCTAATAAATGCTAGTCTTTGTCTATCATATTTCACAACATCTTTCTGTTATTAAAAATTATATATTAATTATTATTATTGCTTAGTAGGATCCTAGGATGTAACGTATATATGTATTCAACTTCGTAAGATAAAACACGATAAATTCCGAAAACACCGAATAATATCGAAAAACTCCGAAGTATACCGAAAAAACAAATGATAAAATATTTCGAAAAGTAAAATGCGAAAAGTTCCGAAAAATCTTAGGGAAAAAAATTTTATATTCTAACAGTCTGATTCTCTATCTCGAAACGAGCGTTCGTCTCGTCCAAACAGCCGTTTGTTCGTGTATTTGTACTACTTAACACGAATTCGCTACCCTGGCGATAACTAGTCAATAACAGCTGATTGTTATGTGACGAAAACGTAACACGAATACGACTTCAAATAAAGAAAGAAAGTGTCAAATTCAAACGAAAGAATTTTTGCTATCGTGTGAGCCGTTAAAATGGATAATTCAAGCAAAAAAGGCAAGAAATAATCGAAAAAACATTCGTATTATTATAATTAATTGTTTAGTATATTTTACAGTGCTGCAAAAACTTCCAGTGCTCAGTTCGATGTGCTGGTAAAAGAGCTGGAGAAAAATCCAGACTTGGCAAGAGGCGCCCCAATGTTTGGTGCGAGTAAGAGCCTGGTAGAACTACAGTGGAATGAATTAGCCAATAAATTAAACGCACATGGACGTCCACAAAGAACAGCTACCGAATGGAAAAAGGTAACTCCTTTTTATAAATAGTAAATTGTATCAAAAATTGAGCTTGTAATGTTTTTCCAGATTTGGGCTGATCTTAAAAGCCGCACAAAGAAGAAAATTGCGGAAAATGCATCCAATATGCATGCCACAGTTGGTGGCCTCTGAATCCGCAATTCGTCTTCGTCCGAACGTTCGCTTGCAAGAAATGCTATTGCTTGATACATTTTTAAATAACTCTATTAAAATATTGTATTTAATAATATGTATGTTTATACATAAAGTAAACAAAACAATTTTGACAGATCTTTTCGGGCGAATAACGTAATAACGTAAAGATGGACGAAAATTATCATTTGAGATAGAGACTTCCGAATTCAGACGATTTCGTTTGGACACGAATCGTTGTTCGTCTGGCTGTTCGTTCGATATAGAGAATCAGGCTGTAAAGCTCCGAAAAACTAGCAGTGTCAAATAATATCCACATGCGCTGAAAGATACCGAAAGATCCCGAAATATAAAACAACAGAAGATTTCGAAAAGTCCAGAAAGATCCCCAAAAATCCCTAAACTGCGAAGAATATCGAAAAAATTCGTAAGGTACCGAAATATTAATGAAAACAACCCGAAAGAAAAAACATGAAGCACCGAAAACTCCGAAAAAAAATAAAAGTTAAGATAAATTCCGAAACAGCTTAAGGAAGAACAGGAGCATTCCGAAAACTGCGAAAAAAAATCCGTGAGAATTCCGGCCACTTCCAATAGTTAGCGAAATCCAAATTACAACCGACGAAATGATCCCGAAAAATAGTATTAAAAAACCTTAAAAAACTAGCAATGTCAAATACCGTCCAAAAAATCGTAAACCGTTCCGAAAACTAGCAATGTCAAAAAACACTACATGACCAGAATTTGTAACGCAGTGACAAGATTTTGCAGCAGATGGTAACTGCAACTCTGTCTACGCATTAACAGGCTTTGAACTTCATCAACAGTCTCTTGGTGAATGAACTCAATGCCTGTCTGTACACTTTCGAGTCAAAAATTTGTTTAGCTTACGTAAAGTTGGTAGAAACGTCTTCCCGATGAACAACAAAGCTGGCACTGCTTGCTGAATAAAGTGTAGAGTTTGGTCATTAAACTACTCTACATCATTCTTCCTGGACCAGTTGCTGAAATACGACGGATACAATGTTTACCGTCGAGATCGCGAGCGAGATAATGGTGGTGGCCTAGCGTTCATTACGCATCACACCGCGCAGTATCGTCTCATAGAAGCAGGCATCGACCGCAGGGATACCATCCTATGATGTCAGGGTATTACTATCAGGTCAGGCGTTGTCGAGCTCGAAATATTTAACGTTTATATACCCCCTGAAATAGGTGCGCTCTTCAAAGGTGAAAACCAAATGGTAATCGGTGACTTTAACGCGTACACCGATCTTTGGCATGGAATGATCGTAGGGCAACTCTATTGGCTAAGCCGATACGCGATTCGCCATTCTGCAAAATGAACGACAACGCACCCACCAGTATTATGGGCATCAGTTCGATGCAGTTCGCCCGACATAACAATCGCAAGCGCTGGTCTGATAAACCGCATAACGTGGCGACCTATGCTGATCTAAGCATCAGACCATCTGCCCATAGTCATCTCGATTGATAAACCTGCCGCCTTTGCTTTCGCGGAACACCGAACCTATATCAACTTCTCTAAAGCTTCGAAAGCTTTGGAACGGCTTCGCGTAAGTTACTGAGAGTAGCTTCTCTGTCCTCCCCACACCAACCAATGTTAACGTAGGTTAGCGTAAGTTCCGCAGTGTTGTCGCTGCTGCTGCAGCCCGCTTCATTCCTGCCGGATGAGTTTTCCTGGCGAAGCGGCTGTTCTAGCTGATAAGAGCGACAACCTTCGTCAGGCCGTTCCCGGAAACCCCCGCAATAGGGATCTCAATACGGAGATACACCAGCTTATGAACGTACATAAATGGAAGAAGTGGGTAGAGCATCTGAAGACTTGCAACTTCAACTCTGGTGTGAGCAAGCTTTGGTCAACCGTGAGCTCACTTTCCAACAAGACGAGCGTTACAGAGCCGAAATCTCTTTCAGCGACCGCGCTTCTTCGGACCCGAAGCAATGCGAGAGCTACTTTAGCCGATAGTTTACGCTGCATCCTCCGGCGGACAAAGTCAAACGCCCAGTTACCAGATAGCTGCACAAACTGCCATACCTAGTACGTGAAGACGAAAGCCTCCAAGTCCATGGGACCCGACGGAACATGCATCCTGATACTGAAAAAATTGGGTCCTGCAGGATTAAACTACCTTACCAAGGTCCTCTACACCGGATATCTGAAAAATGGAGAGAATGGTCCCACTGCTCAAACCCGTGAAACCGTTAGCGAAGACACTTGAGGCCTTGCTACTCAACATGGGTTTCCTAAAATACACAGCAAAATAACCGCTCCTTTGAGAGAACATTCCTAGTAGTGTTAGATCTGTCGAAGGCGTTTGATACCGTCAGTCCACGCTACCAGAAGACATTGAGGCTTCCTCTCTTCCACAGGGACTCAAACGGTGGTCAGTGAATTATCTGAGTGGTCGGCATTCGTCAGTAATTTTTAGTGACAAAACTAGCAAGCCAAGAAAAACTAAATAGGGCGTCCCACAGGGTGGTGTCCCCGTTACTGTTTAACTAACGCCCTTATTGCGAGAGTCGTGTCGAATGCAGTCGTTTTTCGAGACTCGAATCTTATCGAAAATTTTACGTCATTGCCTAAAATTCCACTCGACTAGTGTATTAAAACGGATAAACTTGGCAGCACTGTATAGTTTTCGACGATTTGGTCGTTTAATTATTTCAGCAGGACCGTAGACAATGCCAATGTTGTCGAATCGTACAATTTAGTCTAATTTACGACCTACGCAATGAGGCTGTGATATATTTTAAAACTCCCGCAACCACCAGAAAGAGTCTCGATTGTCACTTATGCTGGAGTGGAATTGATAACTCTGTGCGAAAGTAAACTGTTACCTCTCCGAACTTTCTTGCTTGCTCACTGCAGGGAACCTTACCCTCTCCCCTACAAAATCCTTGGCAACTCTTTTTACCACCTGGACAAAGGAGGTCAGACTACAGCTGGGAGTTCACGTCGATGTTACCTTCGATGGTCTGCTTTCCTTCTCGGCGCATACAACCGCAATTGTCAATAGAGTACAGAGCCGAAACAAGGTCCTCAAGTCGTTAGTCGGCAACACCTGTTTACAGCTCATATAAGTTAATCTTTTATAATTTTTCTTCTACGCTATAAAATGGTTTATGTAAAATTAACTAAGAATAGCATATTCTCTATGCTGTGCAAATAGGCGAAATTCCAAGCAGTACCGAAAATATATCACGTGTAGAATATGCGGTCCAGGAGTGTAATTTCCAGTGCCGCAACCACTGGGTGGTAGGAAAATGCTAGTTTCCAAGCCGGCTCTTATAGGTTTCTCTACGGGCAGACGATCTGAAAGAACGAGATCCAGAGTCGCACTGTTTAATCGGATGGAAAGGACTAGTTGTCATGTCGAACCTTTTTATTTCACTTATTATTGGCGATCTGAACGGACGAGATCCAGATTCACCCTGCTTCCTAGGTCTCCCTTTAGTTGAGCTTGACGACAACGATTGAGAGGCAAGCCGATCTAGGCCGTGCTAAGTAGCCGCTATAACAACAAGTACAAGGAACACGAACATGTATACTTAGACGGCCACAAAAGCGAACACGC